AAAGAAAACCACTACTAACTAAAACCCCAAGTATAGGAGATCATAACAATAGCTTATATAAATGTTAATCTTAAATTGCTAGTATTACTTTGAACATAGTCGGTTATGCTAATTTTTTATCTTTTTATCCAATTTTAACTGCCAGGCAGTCCATATCATTAGCCACGGTCTCAGTGGACAATTCTAATCCTTTTCTTTGTAGAGAAGTAACAGCTACAACATGTACCACGACCACTGGCTCCTCCCTAGCACTATCTACCAGCCTATCTAGAACACACATAATGTCCACTACCTTTGCACCAGGCAGGCAAGTCACCATACGGTCCGTATGCGGATTCACCATCCAGCTGTCTACCTGCCTAAGGGTCGAATCACCACCTACCAAGAGCCCCCCTCCCTCCCTGCCAAGGGATGGTTCCTTGGTGCAAAAGGATACCTGTTCAGCAGCGAGGGCACATTCCCCTTATCCGCAGAACAGTGCCCTGTTTCCTCTCGACTCTCATGCTCCCTGACAGCGGTAGGGCTGCCATATTCAGAGTGGGACATATCTAACAAGTCCCCGAGAGTCTTCTCTGTGCACCTACCTGACTGTCTCTGCTTCTCCAGGTCTGCCACCTTGGCCTCAAGGGAGCAAACATGTTCCCTGAGAACCAGGAGCTCCTTGCACCGGGCACACACTCAAGACTTCTGTCCAGTGGGCAGATAGTAATACATGTGACACTCCGTGCAAAACACTGGATAACCCCCAACCCCCTGCTGCATTCTGGCTTCATAACTGCTTTTAAAATAATAATTATATATAATCCCCCTTTTAAAACCTTTTGTATTTATGTGGTTCTCCTTGTAGAACTCTCCTTACCTTACTGGGAACCCAAGGAGACTAGGGCCCTGTCTTTCTGGCTCTTCCTGGGCTTCTTACAGAGCCCCTAGTCAAAGAGCCCCTAGGCTAAGAGCCACAGTCCAAGAAGAAAGCTCGTGACTCTGGCAAGGTGCTGCCTTAAATAGAAGCTTCCCCCATCAGAGGATGTGGCCAGCAGCTATTCAAATTCACCCAGGCACTCAATTACAGTCAAACAATGACCCTTTCATGCCCTATCTCAAGCAGCCAAGGCTTTGCAACAACTCACCCACACACTCCCAAACACAGTACCCTCTCAGCTAAATCACCTCAGCTGAAAGTAAATAAAAAACACTCACCCCTCTAGCAGCTCTATCTCCTGCTCCTTCTCAGAGCTCAGTTGGGTCAGCCCTGTTTCTAGCAAGGTAGAGCCTGGAGAGGGCCAGGTTTGAGGTGCGGAGGGACTTCAGCAGGGTATAATGCCATAGAGTCCACTGCCCAAAGTAGCCATTGTCTCCAGGAGAACTGATCTTGGTCATATGGAGATCAGTTGTAATAGCTGGGAAATTTTCTGTAGGGGGAATGATGTGCTGTGGCTGGGGAGCACAGTGATTTCTGGGAGATCTCCAGGCATCCCAGGGAGATTGGCAACTCCAGTGACCATTTAAGGGCATCAGAGGATGTGGCCAGCAGCTATTCAAATTCACCCAGGCACTCAATTACAGTCAAACAATGACCCTTTCATGCCCTATCTCAAGCAGCCAAGGCTTTGCAACAACTCACCCACACACTCCCAAACACAGTACCCTCTCAGCTAAATCACCTCAGCTGAAAGTAAATAAAAAACACTCACCCCTCTAGCAGCTCTATCTCCTGCTCCTTCTCAGAGCTCAGTTGGGTCAGCCCTGTTTCTAGCAAGGTAGAGCCTGGAGAGGGCCAGGTTTGAGGTGCGGAGGGACTTCAGCAGGGTATAATGCCATAGAGTCCACTGCCCAAAGTAGCCATTGTCTCCAGGAGAACTGATCTTGGTCATATGGAGATCAGTTGTAATAGCTGGGAAATTTTCTGTAGGGGGAATGATGTGCTGTGGCTGGGGAACACGGTGATTTCTGGGAGCTCTCCACAGGGAGAGCTGGCAACTCCAATGACCGTTTAAGGGAGGATTGGGATATGTATTTTGGCAACTCCAGTGACCCTTTAAGGGAAGATTGGGATATATATTTTACCTCAGGACACATTCAGTGACTCCCAACTGCAACAGCGAACTGTTTAGAATGTTAGAGGCAAAGGCCAATCAGGCCACATATGCAAATGACCTCTGTGTTCCGACTAGCTATGGGGGGGTAGAGGAACAGCAAACTGTTTAGAATATTGGAGGTGGAACTCAGGCAACACAGCCAGTGCTTAGGGAGTCCTTCTGATTTACAGATCAGGGAGCCAACTGATTTGGGAGTGCATGGAATGTTCAGCAAAGTGCCACCCAAAAACACAATTATATATAAGGAGAGATAGCTGCTCAGTTTGGAAAAAGTGTGAATTGCAGTCATATGATAAGAACAGTGCTGCTATGGACTGTGACAATTACAGAACAGACATTAACATGAAGCTGCAGGCTACAGATGACTTCCATCTCTATGCAGTAGATTTTTGGAGCTGCCCATTAAAAATTTGAAAGCTTCAGTTGGCACAGAATATGACTACTTGCCCATTGGTGAGAACCTGTAAGGGGGAGCATATTACTCCCATCTTGAAATAGCTTCACTGGTTTTCATTTGCTTGAGTCAGAGAGAGAGAGAGAGAGAGAGAGAGAGAGAGAGAGAGAGAGAGAGAGAGAGAGACAGACAGACAGACAGACAGACAGACAGAGGCAACAACTACTAAAATATCCTTGCTTGTTTCCAGAGCTGGAAGGAATGCATTTTAATCTGGGCCATTCCTTTAAATGAATTTGAGAAGTGGGTGAAGGGAAACTAATACTTTAGTTTATTTCTTATTAAGTGTTAACTACACCAAAAGAAGGATACTTGATAACCCCTGATTAACTGCACAGCTCACTGGAGTCCCAAGGGTATGTTGAAAGCATCCAGGCTTAATCCAAAAGGATTAGGTGCTTGGACATAGTAGCGGGCAAATCATACGAAACATCTCCTGTTTCCTTCTGTGATGACTATCATTGGCTAAGACTATTCATATTTTTCTTACGTACCATTTTTGTGTGTTTGTGTGTTTTTTTAGGGGTCTGAGCCCAGCTGTTGCTGAGTTTAATTTATTACTGAAAGCACATTCTTTAGAAACCTATGGTGTTGATCCCCATCCTTGCAAGGTAAAAAGTTTATTTTAAAATACACTGAAAGAAATTGTATGTTCTTAGGGTTGCCAAGTCCTACCTTTGTAATAGTGGGGGGAGTCCCGGACATCCCCGGGAGCCTCCCGGCGTGCATGCAAAGTGCGCACGCCGCTATCACATCACCCGGAAGTGACGCAATTGTGTCGTGCACGTTGGGGGCGGGGCCACAATCATCCGAGGGAAAACCATAGCGTTTTCCCTTGGATGATAGAGCATCCCCCCCGCAACGTGCCCAACGCGATTGTGTCACCTCCAGGTGATATGTTCACGCTGAGCACGTCACGCACTTTGGGGGTGGGGTCCCCCCCAGTGGCCCAATCCCCACTGGCGGGGAACATGCCTCTCGGGCGGGGGTTTCCCCACCCCCCGGGGGGACTTAGCAACCCTATATGTTCTGTATTTAAGGCTTGATCGAGTGTGTCATTAAGCATTCTGTCTTCCTTTGAATTCAATTATCTGTATGTAGTAAGAATGCCTACAGAGGAGGGGATGTTACTGTGAGCTAGCTCACAGTTTTTTTAGCCTCCGGCTCATACATTTTTGTCTTAGCACAGGAAGGATGGCTCCAGAGCAAACTAACTTATGCAGCAACCAAATCGTTCACTCACAACTTTAATTCCAGTAGCTCACAAAGTAGAATTTTTGCTCACAAGACTCTACAGCTTAGAGGGAACATTAGTCAGCAGTAGGAAACATCGATGTGCTGAGCAGTAGCATTTGCAGGAAGAGGTGGAAGCTCCTACCACGGGGCTGGATCAGTCCTTTAATCATTAAAAACCCATACACATAGTACATTAAACATGCTGTTTTGAATTATATAATAATCAAATATTTTATATTTTTTAGATCCTCTCAAGTTCAGTGTCTGAGAACCAATTAGCATCTTCTTTACTGTTATGCTTTATTATGAATATCATTTGGCTTGTAGCAGATAGAAAGGCAGGATATCCATCTAATAAGATTAAAAAACCACCTCTCTATAAAAATGTATGTTGCTGTCTGCTCGTGTTGCATCCCCTGTTTGAAACATTTCGAGACATCAAACGGTGTGTCATCAATCATAAATTGGCATATTTAAATCTGACCCAGTTTGATACTGTTGATTCAATGGTAAATGCTAGAATACTAGTGTAAGTGATTTGTTGATGTCAAAATAATTGTATAGGGCTGGATGGAATATTCTGTATATCTGTAAAGTGTTTTATGGTGTTCCAAATTGCAGTCAAAGGACATCTTTATGTTATAAATCAAACAGAGTGTTTTCATCCATGTGATCCCTTCATAATGCTAATTTAGGGTCTAGGGACACTTGCAGGGAACAATCAGTGAGGGTAGGTGTTCTCCCAGACACTGATATTATCCTGCAATCCCCTCCTCTACAGTCATTTTAAACATTTCTTTCCCAGATGGGTTCTGAAACCAGAAGTGACCCTGACTGGGAGAAAAATGGACTTGGGATACATGAATATTTATATGGTAGGCATTTTTATTCATGGCCTGTATCCCATTCTAATAGGCCAAAGTAGCAATATTTGTTGCTTTGTTGCTTTCATTTAGAAGTCTGAAGCACTTTGGGTCAATTTTAGGCACATACATGAAGCAACTCAGGTAGCACCTCCTGCTACATGGGAATGCCATTGTGGAAAACCTGATCCCAAGTTTGGATAACAAAATTACTTGAAATGCAGGTCCATATGGTGCTCACAAACAGTCTCCTAATCATGTCATGGAGGAACTAGTTGGGTCTGACTGGAAGCATTAGGGCTACCTAACATTTAAGGGATGGGAACAATCAGTTCATAATTTCTGCCCAGTTAAGTTGTGCCAGCTTCTTCACCACTCACTAGCAAATTCACTGGATCTGCTATTAGTGGATGGAAATATACCCTGTTAAACATAGAACTTTCTGTATGTTCCACTCCCCCAATGTTTCTAATTTGTTTTGTTTTTCCTTTCAAGGATTCAACAGGGACCACAACATTTTTAGGATTCACAGCTGCAGGTTTTGTAGTTTTCCAGGGAAATAAAAGGATACATTTGCTAAAATGGTGAGATGACCCACCTGAGAACTATTTGTCTTGTTAAAATATTACTGAATTTATTCCCTTCCAGAAACAGTTTGATTCATTTCAGTGTCTTTTCTTTTGAATCTAAGTGATGCAGAATTATTTGACTTGCTATTGTTTCTAGCACATTAAAATAAAAAAAAAACATGGACATAAATTTTAGTGATGATGAATATGGTGCTCAGAAACTTGAGTATTAAGGAAACAGTATGTGTTAACATTATAAGAAGATTGATGCTGGCACTTGAACTTCTACGGAAGCCATATATCCTTTTATATAAACACTGCTTTCTCATTCAGTTTCCCTTTAGTTCCTTGGGAACCTCCTTGTTTGAGGTTCCCAAAACACTTGCTACTAAAACTGTAGCAATGTTAATGAAAAGTTATAATATTGTTATGCCTTGGTGTGAAAATCCATAAGGAAAGGGTAAACTAGTAAGTTAATTGCATGCCTTTCCCCCCTGGTTTATGTGGTTTTGATTTTAATTTGGTTATATACTAGCTTTGACTGGTTAACCAGCTGCAGTCTTTCCTAGGCAGAAAAGATTTGGCCATTGAAGTGCATGCCCCGGTTACATCTTAATTAGATTACTGCAATAAACTCTATGTGTGGCTGCCCTTGAAAAGTGTTCAGAAACTTCAACTGGTGCAGAATGCTGCAGCCAGGCTGTTGACTGGAGTGGGTGGTAGGGACCATATCACTCCAGTTTTGGCCCATCTACGCTGCCTTCCAATTTGTTTCATGGCATAATTCAAGGTGCTGGTGCTGATCTTTAAAGCTGTATGGTTTGGGAGCAACGTACCTACTTCCTGAGGAATGTACCTGATAGCCAGTTTGGTGTAGTAGTTAAGAGCGTGGAGAACCGGGTTTGATTCCCCACTCCTCCACATGCAGCTGCTTGAGTGACCTTGGGTCAGTCAACTCATAAGATCTTCGTCGTGGTCTCTGTGCAGTCCCACACAAGGGTTGGGCGCCTGCGCACGACCTTGATCGGAGAAACTTCTAGAGCTTTGCCTCAGAAAGCTTTTGGCGGGCTCTCTTCCTGCCCTGGGGAGCAGGCACGTACTGCACATGCCTGGAGCGGGGGAGAGAGCCGCCTCCCACTCAGTTCTTCTTCGACCGCCTGTGTGTTCACACCTCGTTTTTTGTTCCTCCGTAATTGCCTCAGCTTTTCTCTTTTTTCTCTCTTTCGTTCCCTTCTGTCTTCACTCTTCAACTTTTTTTGTTCATTTTATTCTACAAAAGTGGGAAGAAATTTCAACCAATGTCTGGGTGCTTACCATCTTACGGGTCGGGTACGCCATAGAGTTCATTTCGCCTCCCGACGTACCTCATTATATCGTCACCCCCCGGATCCTCTCCTCGATTCCGAGATTTCTGCGCGTCTAGCCAAAGGCGCCATCGAGGTAGTCCCGGAAGCGCAACGAATCCTAGGCTTTTATTCAAAATACTTCCTCGTACCAAAGAGGGATGGCGGCTTCAGGGCCATTATGGATCTCCGGGATCTCAATCGGTACATTCGATGCCACAAGTTCCAAATGGTCACCCTACAATCTATCCCATTGATTCCTCAGGCGGCATGGCTCACCTCTGTCGATCTCCTGGACGCCTATTTTCATGTCACTATCCGTCCACAGCATCGATTGTTCCTGTGTTTCGCTGTCGGCAATGCACACTATCAATATCGGGTCCTTCCGTTCAGACTCTGCACTGCCCCGAGGGTTTTTACTAAGCTGATGGCTGTGGTGGCTGCAGATCTCCACCGTCGGGGGATTGCCCTGTATCCCTATATCGACGATTGGCTTCTTGTTGCCTCCACCCAGCACCAGCTCCTGCAAGACGTCCAAACCACCCTATCTCCCCTTCGTGCCCTCGGGCTTTGTGTCAACCTAACCAAGTCATCCCTACAGCCTCTTCAGGCCCTTCAATTCCTGGGTCCCCATTTCGATACCAACCTTGAGATCGTGTTTCTCTCGAACTTGAGGGCCTCCAACATACTTACTCTGGTCTCCCAGTTCCAGACCTCTCCCCGCCAGTCTGCTCAGTCTGTTATGAGGCTCTTGGGCTCCTGGGGCATTTTGCGGCTACTGTCTTTGTCGTCCGTCATGCCAGGTTGAGGATGCGTCCCCTCCAACTTTGGCTTCTCTGTGCCTTTGACCCTTTCCGCAGTCCGTGGCACGCAATCCTGTCAATCCCACCCCCTGTCGTTGACTCTCTCGCTTGGTGGTCTCACCCTCACCACTTGCTCTCTGGCATGCCCTTTTGGCATCCTCCTCCGCAAGTCTCAATCTCCACTGACACATCCCTCTGGGGTTGGGGAGCCCAGTGCGGAATCCTTTCAGCACAAGGGACCTGGTTTCCTCGTGAAGCGGCCCTTCATATCAATATCTTGGAGCTGCGTGCCGTTCATCTCACTTTCCGTGACGGTAGTTTAGAATGCCGGAAAAATAGCAGAGTCTCTGTTTCCTTATATACAGAGTATTTACACTTTATTTACACTGGACACTGGATACAGATATACAGTTCTTCTGTAGCAAAATCACTGTACAAACTGGCAAAGTGCTACGCAGACAGATGATCCCACAAAAGAGATGTGTAGCACTGAACAAGCCACAATATATATGTACATTGGCCAATCAGAATATAGCAATTACTTTAGCTGACTCATGGTGACTGTTCCAGAATCTGATGCAATCTGCCAGTCACCTGACTCCTGACTGTCAAACTAGATCAGTAAGATCTGACACTGCTGATGACTGACTGACATCTTGCCAGTAATATATCCAAATACTGTCACTCCGCTCCTTTCTCCCTGTCCTTCGAGGCCAAGTTGTTCGGGTTGCCTCTGACAACACCACCACAGTCTACTACATAAACAAACAGGGCGGGACAGCCTCCTTTCATCTTTGCCATGCAGCAATCGATCTCTGGCAATGGTGCATCCACCACTCCATCACGCTCTCTGCGATTCACATCCCGGGCGTTCAAAACGTAGATGCCGATTGGTTGAGTCGCTCCCAGTTTTTGGACAATGAATGGTCCATTCACCTTCGATACCTAAAACCTGTATTCCTCGAGTTCGGTCGCCCTGTCATAGATGGCTTTGCAACTGCACACAATGCCCAGTGCTCCCGCTTTTTCAGCCGCAGTCCACCATCCGCTCGGTCCCTGGGAGATGCCTTTCTCCACACCTGGACGGGGACCCTGCTTTATTTCTTCCCTCCATTTCCCTTGATCTCCAGGGTTGTTCAAAAGATTATGACCGTTGCAATGTTCTGCATTCTAGTCACTCCATGGTGGCCGTGCCAAATCTGGTTTCCGCACCTCCTTTGGCTCTCCAACCAGACATTCCATCCTTTTCTTGTCATTCCACATCTCCTCTCTCGGGCTCGAGAAAAGGTCCTCCACCCCGATCTGGGTTTCTTCCGATTAACAGGCTGGAAGATCCTGCATTAGACTTCCTGCCTGAAGTGTCCAAAGTCCTTCTGAATGCCAGGAAACCATCTACCCGTGCCACGTACGCTCTAAAGTGGAAGAGGTTCTAGTCATATGCCTCTGATCAGTCCTTTGATCCTCTCCAGTTGTCTCTCCGTGAGATTTTTTCCTATCTCGCCTCGTTAAAGAATACTGGCCTGGCATACTCATCTTTAAAGGTCCATTTAGCAGCCATCTCGGCCTACCATCCCTTGATACAGGGATCTACGGTTTTTCCCACCGCCTTACCAAGTCGTTCCTCAAAGGTGCCAACCTCTGTCCCCCTAGGAAGCCTTTGGTGCTTTCGTGGAGTCTCTCGTTCTCACTCAACTGATGTCTAAACCGTTTGAGCCCATGGCCACGGCCAAGTTCAGGTTACTCTCCTGGAAAACTGCCTTCCTTATAGCTATTACTATTGCGCACAGAGTAGGGGAACTAGCTGCCTTTTGGGCTGATCCCCCTATACAATTTTCCATAAGGAGAAGGTTGTCCTTAGACCAGATCCTTCTTTCTTGCCTAAAGTCGTCTCTGCCTTTCATCTGTCCCAGTCGTCTGTCTTACCTTCATTCTTTCCGAATCCGGCTGATGCACCTCAGAGAGCCCTCCACTGCCTTGATGTGCGCAGAGCGCTCTCCTTCTATTTACATAGGACTCAGCCTATACGTAAATCTCCTCGGCTGTTCCTTGCCTATGGGCCCCCTCCTGTCGGGGAGCCCATTTCCTCTCAATGCTTGTCCAAGTGGGTGACTTCCACCATAGCCCTTTGCTATGAACTAGCACGTCAACCCGTTCCTACCTCTGTCACTGCCCATTCTACATGGGCAGTATCAACATCCACCACTTTCCTGGCTGGTGTCCCGTTGGAGGACATCTGTGTGGCTGCTACATGGTCCTCAGCATCGACCTTCGTGACCCACTACGCACTCGACGTCCGAGCTCGACGGGATGCTGCGTTCGGCCAGTCAGTGCTGCAATCTCTCTTTGCTTGACCCTGCTACGTCTCCAGGTAGGACCCGTGGGTGTTTTTTCCAGCTGATGATGCTGTGTCTTAACCAGTATTCTTTGTGTCTCTTGCAGCTTCCAGCTCCCTCCTCCAACTGGTTCAGCTCTTGTAATCACCCATGTGTGAGACTGCACAGAGACCACGACGAAGATAAACAGGTTGCTTACCTGTAACTGTTGATCTTCGAGTGGTCATCTGTGCAGTACCACAATCCCACCCAGCCTTCCCCACTGCTGGCATCTCCTATTCACCTTTCTTTGGCTTGATGGGACTTACCGGTAGCAGTCAAAGGAACTGAGTGGGAGGCAGCTCTCTCCCCCACTCCAGGCATGCGCAGTACGTGCCTGCTCCCCAGGGCGGGAAGAGAGCCTGCCAAAAGCTTTCTGAGGCAAAGCTCTAGAAGTTTCTCCGATCGAGGTCGTGCGCAGGCGCCCAACCCTTGTGTGGTACTGCACAGATGACCACTCGAAGATCATTAGTTATAGGTAAGCAACCTGTTTTTCTTTCAGAGCTGTTCTCCTAAATTAAGGGCAGTTCTCGAGTGAGCTCTCTCAGCTCCACCTACCTCAGGGTGTCTGTTGTGGGGAGGGGAAGGGAAAGTGATTGTAAGCTGCTATGAGACTCCTTCAGGTAGGGAAGGGCAGGGTATAAATCCAATCTCCTCCTCCTCCTCCTTCTGCCCTGCTTCAGGTGCCCCCACATACTGATTAGACAGATGGCAGCAGCCCAGGAGAGGGTCTTCTTGGTTATGCCACCAAAATTCTGGACCTCTGTACCCTTCTTTTGCCATCTTCGGCCACCAAGTAAAGACTTATTTGTTTTGGTTGGTGTTCCCTCAGCGATCTCTCCTTTCTGCCCGGTTTTTAATTGTTGTTTTTATGCTTTATATGTATTTTAGCTCTGGTTTTAATTGTTTTTATGATGTGTTTCTTGCTGGTTTTAAAGGTTTTAATTTATTAGCCACCTTGGTGGCCCTTATGAGGGCTGAAAGGCAGGGTATTTTGTAAGATATATATATCAAAGCAGAAATACCCAATAAAGTAGGGCTGTCTTATACACAATTAATGGAATAAGTGATCCCAGTGGAACTTGATTCTTACTTAACACACATAAGATGGGTTCCAATCTACACGCCTATATTTGCTTACTAGAAAATCATTAAATTTTTGCAGTTTGCTGCTGATTTCCTGCCAGGAACAGGGCATGTCCCTGTCCATAGGTTTGCAATCTAATTTTTGAAAACATGAAAGAACAGCATTTTGAATATATTGAATTACACTGTCCACTTACTAATATGGGTTTTACTAAATTATGTTCTTATTTTTTCTATTGAAAAACAGTTCATTCTACAGCAACTTGCTAAAGGTTTATGAACTGGATACATTTTTATGAAATTTCCAAATAGCCTTTTAAAATTGCTCTGTTTTTCTCATTCCAAATCCTTATTTGCAGGTCTGATGTCTATAAATTAAAATTTGAAGGGAAGACATTTTATGTGATTGGAACTCAGAAAGAGGTTGGATATTTTATATATTTTAAATTATTCCAGTTTGAAATGTGGCTCTTTCTAATGGAAAGTGTGCATATTCTGTGCATATTCTGTTTCTCTCAAAACTGCTGCATAGACAGGATTGTCAACATATGCTTCCTTTTCCTTTCATTTATTAGCTTCATTGACCTGAGGTCTGAAGCCAAGCATACAAATAGCTACTATAAAACACATTACATATAATTACAAGATAATTTAGACTAAACATTTTAAAAATGAAAACTAAGGAGCATACTCATAAACAATGATGGAAATTGGTTTAAAAATTTTAAATTTATATGCATAAAACTACCTAAAGCATTTCAAAGCTGCTTTAAAAATAGCACTATCGGTAGATATTTTGCCACCAAGCGAGTTGTTTCAGGGTCTTCATCTGCTAGGAATATGGTTATCGCCCAAGGTTCCATAGGAAGGTGATGCCTATGTAAAATAGGAGTAATCTCTATTGCACCTGATCCACAATCGCACAATCTATTTGAATACGGTTTTTTTTTAGCAAAATGGCCTCTTAGCTCTGCAGTTGGAAAAACATTCAACCTAGCAAGCGTGAAGACATCTAAATCTAGGGGATGTAAGGAAGCTCATATATGAGGGAATTTTCTTAGGTGGCACAATCCCTAACACAAAGTCGGAGAACATATGTTTTGAAATAAAAGTAGGTAAATGCCATGCTTTTGTCCTTTTTTCTTAATGAGAAGTACAGAAGGATGAATTGAGTCTTCAAACTGCTTAATTTTGGCTGACTGTGTCTGGTGCATGTAGTCAAAGTGTGTATACTAAGGATAGGCACGAACTGGGGTTCATGGTGGTTCACGGTTCGTTTGCACAAACCATGAACTTTCATGAACTTTTCCCATTTCTCAAACTGGTTCATGGTTTGTTTGGTTTGGGAGGTGTTAGAACAGTCCCCTCACAAGTTAGAGATGCCAACCTCACAGGGAATCTTCAGCAGCCTATCCTCCATCCACCCTCCATATTTGGCATAGATTGGATTTGGAATGTCTGAGTTATAGCCCTCCAAAGCAGGTGCCCCCAGGAAAGCTCAGCTCTAGCTTCCCCTAAAATCAGCCACACAGCAAGAAATTCTTCCTAACTCACTCTCACACAATGACCAACTCCTCTCTCTTCCTGCTGGTGAAAGCAGCTGAGTCAGGATGTGGTATATATATACGATCTGCTCCCGTAGAACAGAATGGGAGCTCGTAGTTGGCTCTCAGAGCTGCCAATCAAGCTATGGACATCTGCTGTGGGTGTTTTTAGAGCTCCACAAGTCCACCCCCAGCATTGTCTAGGAATTCATTGAATTGGCACCAGGCTGTCTGGAGAACGAATCTCTCTAATGAACTAAATGAACCTCCATGGAAAAAAGGTGATTTGTTTTTGGATTTGGGAAGGATGTGACCAAATGAACCAGTTCAAAACAAACCACAAACTAGCCTGGTTCGTGCTTGAACCCATGGTTCGTTTCTCAGTTTGTGCCCATCCCCAGTGTTTACAAATCTTTCCTAAATTAACAGCTACTGGTCTACATATGTACACACAGATTTTGAATCTGGATTAACTGATTTTAGAATAAATATTCTGAAGCAAAAGTATGATTAATTTGTGATTGGGTTCAACTTGCACACAGAAAACACAAGCTTCCTCAGTGTCCACTAGGGAGGGCATGCTGCACCCCCACCTGCCCACTTCAAACACCATTGCAGGCTCCTGATGGAAGCCTTCTGTTTTATGCAAAACAACCCCCCTGGCCTTTTTTGCACCACAGTGAAGAAGTTCACTTCCAATCTTGCGCATGCTGCTTAAGATTGAAGAAGGAGGAGCCAAGAATGAATGAGTGGCAAAGAAAAACCCAAGCCCAAATACACACACACACACACACACACACGTTCCCACTTGTGCTCTCATGCCGCTAGTCCTTCATGCAGCTCCAAACAATGGGGGGTGGGGTTTGTGTAGGAACAGGAAGTGGCTTTTGGCCCCATCCACTTCATTAATGGGGAGGATAGAAGAGAGCCCCAAAGTGCACACTCTCCTCAGCAGCTGAGAGAGTGGTTTCCTCCACTTCCTTCCCTCTCCCCACTTGATTGCTGGCCAGTTAAATCCCTGGGCTGGCCGGTTCTGGCCCATGGGCCATACATTTGACATCCCTGATTTAAACTGTTTAACCTATACATGGCTGTAATCAAGAGGTCAGGAAGCCTCCCTCTCCATACCCTTGCTTTGAACAGGAGGAAGGAAGATCTAGAAAAAGTAGAAAGCAGTTAGGCAATGGATATTTTCTGGATGACAGGGGGAGAAACATTGAGAAAAGTGTGAAGAACATTAATAATGGGAATACATGGAACCCAGGATTATGACCTTGGAAAAGACTAATGGTTTATATAGTCGAACCCTCCACATGACCCCTACAGAGAAAATAGTGGCTCCCTGGAGCTGTTTCAGGTCAGGAAAATGGCAGTGGAGGAGGCTTAAATGTTCCTCCCGCATTCCATGGTCGTAATTGACGTCTGTCCCCCATGTACATGATTTTTAAACCCTGCCAAATGCTGGGAACAATGTTGATGAGATCCAGACATCCCAAGGTCTTATCCTATCTAATAAGGGACTACTCACAACCTGAGAATCATGCCTTGAGACTCAACTAAGTCTGAAGTTGGGAAACAAACCCTTGACTTCTTTGTGTTTAATTTCCCTCAAACTCTTAGAAAAAGGCTATGTTGTCATTCCATACCTCTACACCAGCAGCGTGCAAGCATCTTTGGAAGTGTGGAGTGGAAAACCAGGCTTTCTATAAGTAAGTAGATCTATACATTCAGGCGGGTAGCCATGTTGGTCTGAAGCAGCAGAACAAAGTGTGAGTCCAGTGGCACTTTTAAGACCAACAAAGTTTTATTCAAGGTATAAGTTTTCATGTGCATACATCTGTGCGTGCACATGCAAGCTTATACCAGGGGTGTCAAACTCATTTGTTATGAGGGCCGGATCTGACATAAATGAGACCTTGGTGGGCTGGGCCATGTGTGTCATAAAATGTAATGCCAGGTAGTGGAGATTTAAACTTTATAAAGGACACAAATGCAAAGATTTTTTTAACTTAAAATAAAAACATGCTTAAAACATCAGCACTCTTGCAATGTTTTCTTTATTTAACAGTGTGATAACTGACACCTCTTGCTGTGAATTACTGCATCAAAATGTCTGTGCTGTTGCAATCTTGAGTATGATGTTCAAGTGTGTATCTGTAAGCTGCAAACCTACTTTTGATTTATTGACATTCACTACAGAAATCTCATGCTCAGAGTTCTGAGCCTAGGACCCAGGGGAAAACATGAAATGGCTGGGTTTTGTGAGCTTTTGTACATAAATGGCTTCGTGTGCTGGTCCAGAACATGAGAAGGCACCATGATACAGACATGTGTTTGTCTACAAAACTATAGTTTTTCTTAGTGGTCAGTATCAGCCTACTATCTGGGAAGTCTACGTTCAAAATCCCCAAAGGAAATGTGTTGGGTGAACTTGGTCTGGACACACACTCTCATTCTAATCCGCCTCACTGGCTCATTGTTATTCCTCATCTAAATAGTTCACATTGCTTTCCTACTGAGCAAGATTCGATCGTGAGGTCATGAATACAGTGAAAAGGGGGCGGGAACCCAGTAGCAGTTGCACCCAGGAGAGCCACAGCATAACAAGCCCAACAAAACACACACACTGTAGCAAGGCACACAAAAGGTCATACCTTGGATAACACTTTGTTCGTCTTAAAGTTGCTTTTTATTACTCCCCTGTGATTGAGGCAGCCAAGCTAAACAAGTTCTCCCTCTCTTCGGGGAGGACCCTCAGCCAATGGAAGGGAAAAAAGGCTTGCCTTTTTATCTTGTGCGATTGAGGTAGCCTGGCCAGGTAGCAAGCTCTGGCTTATTCCCTCTCTCCTTCTGGGAGAGGGAGGAGCCTGAGCCAGTGCACGGAACAGAAGCTTGCCTATCTATGTCTCCTGAGCAATTGAGAGAGTCTGCCAAAGCAAGCTACAATTCAGCAGCAGCAGAACTGGAAGAAGAAGCAGGAGACAGCCATTTCCACTGTGGGGCTGATAGAAGCCTTCTGGGACCCTGGGCTGCATGTTTGACACCCCTGGCTTATGCTTTCAATAAAACTGTTGGCCTTAAAAGTGCCACTGTACTCAAACCTAAATCTATATATGTTATGCATAAGCAAATCTCTTTTACTCATCCCTGCTGGCTTGTCACTGCTCTTGCAACAGGAGAAAACTGGGTAGGTGGGGGGTTTGATGTCACAGATGTAGTGGCATTACTTCTGGTCACTGATGTTTTAGGCATTTTCCAATCTCTATGGTCTTTACCAAAGAGATTGGGGGAATTCTTAGAGCAGGGCGGTCTTTGCACCATCAGGTGATCACCCAGAATTGACATCATCAGTGACATTCCTCTTCTTCATGCTCTGCCCTTCCAAAGCTCTTGCCATTACAGGGATAGTAACCCTAACATACGTTATATACCCAGTATGAGTAGTAACTGTCAAGTAACATGAGACTTTCTTCAAATTGTAAAAAGAAGATGCACCTTGATTCAAATGCAGATTAGTTTAGTGAAGACTCTGCCACACTATGAGATTCATACTTTTGTGGCTTTTGAAGTGGAGAGGAAAGAATTTAATACCAATTAAAATCCAATAATAGATATTTTCTGTATAGTTACCATGCAGAAAGGTTTTTTTAAAAGGATAATATTCATACAGTGAAATCCTGTGCCATTTCTCCCACCTCAAATGCCATCCCCCAATTGCTTTTGCCCAGACCTTGCGTATGTTATCCAACAGGCCAAATATCAACTCTGGGGGGGCGTTTGAAGTAGCCCTGAAATTGGCAAGTGTTCGTACACTGGATTTTATTTGCAGAAAGCTGAACTAGATTTTGGAATCAGGAACTGATGTTGGATTGGGACTATCACTGCTAACCTATGTGCTTGGTAATAGGTTTTTATTTATTTCTTTAAACGTTTTTATCCGGCTTCTTCACAGCATGAAGTGACTTACGAAAGTTAAATAAAAATGTCTACTACCAAACATCAGTAAAATTATTAGGTATCACGTAATATACATAACAAACACAGGTTACAGTCCTACAACACTTTCTTGGGAGTTTGTCCCACTGAATAAACCTCATTCAGATAGCTACTAAAATCAATAAAATCAGAATTCCGCACACTAAACAACCACTCTATAACCAATAACATTTTGCCCATTTTTTGCTTCCTTGATAATGTAACAGGCACTTTCTTCCTTTGTTTTCTTTGAAGGTATGCAAAATCCAGCCAAATCAAGACGATGTCTAGCAGCAAAATATTTTTTAAAGGCAGTAGGTTTCGATACAAGTGAGTATATACTGATCTCAGTAGCTGTATTGTCCATTAGCTAATTTCCAGAAACTATGTGGGAAAGTTCAGTAAAAACTTTCCTCTGAAATTCCACTAAGCACTGGTTGCCACCTCTCCTGGTAGTCTTACAGTGCAATCCAATGCAGTTACTCCATTCGAGTCCTATTGATTTTAACAGTGTTAAACTGGAGTAATTGCGTAGGAGTGTGCTGTTAGCCTATGCTGTCATTCTTACTTGTATCTATTTAAGCAGAAGTCTTCAGTAGTGTGGAGAAGAAGATGAAGGAACACTGCATTTGCTAGACAGTTAGGTAGAAGTTATTTTGCCACTCAATAGAGGGATGATTTATTTTGGAAGTCCTACTCACAGCTGTGATATTAACTGGGAATATTTCGTGAGGCCTAAATTAATTTTTAAAGATAGAACGTATTTATCTAATCTGATATCCTTTAAAAACAGACATTCATTGATTTACGTATTTAGTTACTTCATGCAAATCAAATATTCACCTGAAAATAGCCTGTGTATTAAAGATTGTGCTTTGTTACAGTGGAAAAGTTGCCAAAGAGGTTGTCGAAGCAAGTTCTAAAATCCAGAGGGATCCTCCTGAAGTGCACAGGTACCTTTGGGTTTCAATAATGTCTGTATGAACTGTTCTTAATATTCAGAGAACTTTCAGGAGACTTGCAAGGGTAATCCTATGCAGAGTTACTTCAATCTGAACCTGATAGCCCAGGCTACCCTGATCTTAGCAGATCTTGGAAGCTAAGCAGGGTTGGCCCTGGTCAGTGTTTGGATAGGAGACCACCAAGGAAGTCCAGGGTTGGGACATAGAGGCAAGCAATGGCAAACCACCTCCGAACATCTCTTGCTTTGAAAAATCCACAGGGTTGCCATAAATCAGCTGCGACTTGATGGCAAAAAAAAGTCCATTCATATCAGTGAATTTAGCACAGAAACGACACTGTTGGCTGCCTAAACTGGTCATTAACAGTGCAATCCTCAGCACCTTTCAAAGTCACTGGTCTTATAAGGTGTAACTCTGCTTAAGACAAGGAATTTCTTCTCTAAACTAGAAGCTCTGTCCCTTTTTCTGGCCCGAATAGGGGTCTTCAGTGATCTTCCCACTCCTGCTTGCCAACCTTCCCAGTCCTCAGTCAGTGCTAAACTGAATTCAGCAGTCAGTTCCCCACTCTTTCTTCTCAACTGATGCTATCCAATGAAATCTGTTTGAGCAGCCTGTCACTCAAAGGCTCTCTGGCTCTATGAGGAGTTCACAGTCCATCACATGTTTATATAGCACTTATGAGCTTTTAAAGCACAGTCCGTCACAGCTTCCGATAGAAAGGACAGTAGAAAACATAGTGGGATGTTTCCTTCACTTCTGGGGCTGCACAGGGCTGCACCTAGTTAATTATGTTTGGGCCATTCAGTTGTTTAGAAAAGGAAAGGCAATAAGGTTTCTCATTGACCAGCATAATAGCCTTAGCTTTGCAGTGTCCCCAAGGTAGTGAAAGAAAGTAAGACCTACAAAACTATGGCTATAGAAAATTCTACTTCTTATATTAGCACTAGGAGTCACAGGACAAACTGGGCTGCCCAGAAAACACAGCAATTTTCTTGTGTTTTTTCCCTTGCTTTTTATTCTTCATAATTTCCTTACATAACATTTTCCATTAATTCTATATGGTTATCCTTGTTAATCTGTTGCAGTAAATAGCAGAGACCTTAAGGCACTTCAGAGACTAAAACATTTTATTTTGGAGTAGCTTTTGTGAGCCAAAATGACTTTTTCAGAGGTCACTTTTCTTTGATGGTGGACTCTGGCTCACAAAAATTTTGTATAAATCAGTATTTTGAAGAACGTAAGAATCACTACTGTGTTTTCTGCTATATGTCTTGCAACATGGCAATTGCATTTTGATTCCAAGTATTTTGGTCTTTTTGCCTTCTTTCTCTCAGAACCAGCATGATGCAGAGTCACAGTTCTCATTCATTGAATAAGCAGCTCATCATTAATATGGAGCCCCTGCAACCTCTCCTTCCTTCCCCTGATGACCAGGAAGAGGTTCCCTCTGATGAAGGCAAGTCTAAACCTCACACACAAAATAACAAACATAACCAATCAGATACAGTGTAGAGACATTTTAGGGAAATGTACACCAACCTGAAACATCATTTCAGTAAGCAATGAAACAGCAGGAGTGTTTTGCTATTAATATTCTGCACATGGACATGAAAAAACCCTCAACAAATACTAAGAGTTATTCAACATGTAATCAAAATGTTTATATGTATAGGTTGCTGTATGCAAAAAACAGGGATCAATTGTCTTATACATCCTTCTCAAAATCCTGTGACAGTTTATTGATGGGCAACAGGATAACAGAGAACTTGTACAAAGCCACCCATGGAGTCATGCAGCTGAGGGCTGAAATAGACATGACAGTGGGCATGAGTTTGGGTTGGGTGTCCCCCATCCTGACTTGCATGGGGTTAACAGCCAAATGTAACTGTCTTTAAATGAAGTTGTAAGCACACTGCCTGATTCAGATTGGGTCTGTGGTGTTGGGGAGAGGGGTCCACCATGCCTATTTTGGCCCTAGATTCTCTAGCTTTCTTGAGTAGAGTAAAGCAACACAGAAAGAGACAGAAATTTCATTTTGTTGTTCTGTAGGCTAAAAGCACTTGAAGAGAGATAATTTGTTATTGATCATTAATCCCACATCCTGCCTTTCTTTCATCATGGAACTCAAGGCAGTTTACAGAGGACTCCCAAGAGATCTCCCACTGAAGTTGGTCACCAGACCTGTTTAGCTTTTCAGCAATGTTCTTATAGTGCCCTTCAACTATACCCTGTGATAAATATGCCAAAGTTTGTGAGAAAGAGGCAGTTGAGAAAGTGTGAAAGTAATATAAAGACAGCAGTATGTGTGTGTAGGCCACTGGGGGTTAAAATGTATAAACGTAGTAGTTTAATACACCATGTGATATGAGGAACCTGAATTTGAATTGTCATGTATTTCCTATGGATGGATTTTGGCTAAAAGGTAAGGTTAAAATATAAAATAGATAAATGTGGTAGTGGGACAATGGTGCTCATTCTCTTTTTCACACCAAGATAATTTGGGAATGTGCCCACTTCACTATGTTCCCCTTCTTCTGTTATCCCTGTCTCAGAACCAAATGTTCCCCTTTCTATATAAAACAGTCCCAGGGGAGATCTTAGTATACGTGCATGTAATTGGATGTCTCTCCTTTCTCGTCTTCCTGCCAGGTTCACCCTTTTTGCATGACTACAGACAGATGAGCAAAAGCTCACAATTCTGTCTACTGTGTTCCTCGACAGCACGTTGTTGGGACTATTTCTGTCTTGAAAAGCTTCTTGACTATTGCCTCTTGCTGGTTCTTTAGAGTGCAACTGGGTTCCTTCCCTAGATCTGGCAAAGCCTCCATTTTCTTTAGCTAGATGGTTGAGAAGCTTCTGCTACTGGATCCTTGCTCTTACTTCTGCTGCTCCTTTTATACTCTGGCAGGGGAAGACCCCGCCATCAGCTCCCACCTGGTCCAGCATGATCCCATCCCCGTGTTTCTTCCTGGAAGTCTTGCAGCTTGGGAATCTGGCTGTTTCTCCATGCCACATGATTCTCCCTCCCATGTTCGTGCCCCCAGGTGTCTCGGTGAGTGATGGTGTGGGGTGGCTAGTGGTGGTGGTGGTGGGGGTTTGCATCATCACATATATATGTTGAAATGGTGGTAGTATGTATAGCTACTTAGAGCATTTATGTGTGTGACAGAAGAAGAAACAAGAAGGCTAGCAGAAGTTTGAAAGGGGTTTGCGTCATAGGAGCATAGCCATGATTCAAAGTTGGGACTGTGCTCAAAGGTTCCACTTATAGCCATCAGACTTTGTCCTAAAGACTGTCTTCTGGATGCTGTATTGCCAAACTTCTTTGAGTCTGTACATTGGTTCTGTTGGAATGAGATATATACCTTGCTCCTGGCAGACCTATGTGTATCCCATTTGATTTATCAAAAGATAATCCTTTTTGTTCAGTTCTGCCCAGTTTATTTAATGCACTTATATGTTCTTGTGTAGACTGCCTTGAACTAATAACCAGTAGATTTTCCCTTAGTCATTAGATTCATGCAGGGATTGATGTTTTCAAAGTCTCCAGCTGAGAGGATTTCATGAGTCATGAACTATTAATATAGTTCTGATGAAGCTGCTAGAATCACCTTGGATTTGTGTGATCTCATGTTTCTTATAAGGTTGCTTTGCTGATGACAGGGACTTGTGGAGGCAATACATTTGGGGAAAAGTTTCCTTCTTAGCTCCATAGTAGCCCTAATTGACTCTTGCAGCAATTGTGTGATAACAGTACAAGCATTAACAAGGAGGGGGAGTCTTGCTGCAAATAAAATGAGGCAAATAAACATGTTCTTGAAATATATTGGTGCAGTGTTATGGTGGTATAGCTTTGCCCTGATATTCTAAAAGCCGAGCTTGCATTATGGAGAGCTGCAGGCATGTTTTTAGCAAAGCTCACATTTCTGTTGTGAGGAAACCACATTCCTTTGGTAAGAAACTCACATAGATGTGACAATGTCCACAGTAGCTAAGTGGAATCTACATAGGCAGAGACTCTGTACCTTGGAATACAAGTTACTGGGAACAATATACACTACAACAGATTGTGTTAACAGATTTCAGTAAACTTCCCTTTGGAAGTTCCAATTAATATAATTCCATGAGAAAGACTTTTCCAAAAATGAGTGCTTCTCCCAGTGTTTTAGAAATTTGTTTGCAGTATTTATTTATTTAAAAGCAGAATAATTTTAATACATCTTCTGGGGAACAGGTCTCATCCATTGTTCCCCTGAATGAAAAGGTATGCATGCTTTGTTCCCCCTAAGGTTGCTAATTCAGGGTTAGGAAATTCCTGGAGATTTGGGGATAGATCCTGGGGAGGGTGGAGCTCAGCAGGAATCCAAAGAGGCCATTTTCTCCAAGGGAACTGTTCTTTGTAGTTTGGAGATACGTTGTACTCCAGACCCCACCTGGAGGTTGGCAAACCTAGTGCCTCCACTTCCTCATGCACAGCTCAATTAATTCCAACTACCAGTGACGTATGAACGTGTGAGTGAACCATTTCTCCCAGTATCTTGGATTCTAAGCCTTGATTAAAACCTGGTTTATAATACCAGTCAGTGGAGGAAAAGGTAATTCCAGTTAACCTGCACTTTTTTATTCATCCACTAAAGTTAGTGTTTAACAGCAATTCTTGGTGGGAGAAGGAACTGGGGAGGAGAAAGGCATGCTGTAGGTTTCCGTCTGTTTAGTGTCATTGGAATAAAACAGTCTGGGCTGGGAGTTCCCTTGCTAGAAATAAATGTGTCATCTATTTTTTTTCTTTTTTCCTCTGTTGCTGACAATCCGTTTCACTGGTATGTGTGTGGCTGACTCAGCTGTATAATTTCAGGCTGTTTTTCAGCTCACTCTCTTCTTCAGCCCTTAGTACATTCCCTCCCCTTTAGTAACTTGATCTAATGTATTTTCCAGGGACTGTATTGGTTGACCTTGAGCGTAATTCACCAACCTTCTAGAGGCATTTGCTCACCTTGGAAGGCTTGTCTGGGAATCAGGGAACACATTAATGACTTTGTGAGGCCCATATGATTTTATGCATATATAAATAGAACATCGTTTCCACTTTTTGGCAGTCAGTCATTTGCTTTCTATATCTTTGAAACTGCTCCAAGGGGTGTGTTTGGCATCAACAGAATCACACAGAGACTTTTATATCTGAAAAGTGGGCAACATCAATCAAAGCAGAAAAGGGCTGATCTCTCTGGTGGGCTCAATTTAAGGTATCAGCTATCATATTCAAAGCCCTTTTCATGGCCTTGGTTCCTCACATCTGTGAGACCCCCTCTCCTCCTATGTTCCATCATGAGGCCTTCACTCATTGGAGCAGGATCTTCTGCAGGTGCTGATCTGCAAATGGGCAAAATCAAAAACTTCTGGTACCTGTGCCTTCTTCGTTGTGGCCCCCACCTTGTGGAACAGCCTGTCTGAGGAAGTCAGGAACACTCCCACTCTTCTGGATTTTTGCAAACTATGCAAAACTGAATTATCCAAGAGGGCTTTTCTGTGCAGGCAATAGAGTTGCACTGTATTAAATGATTCACAAAATTACTTAGAAAAAATGTTAGGGCCTGGTTTATACTACTGTGCATAGGATCCTGCTATGGAATTTGAATAATTTAATGGGTATTCAGTTCTGTTTTTAAACTTCTGGTTCATTCTACAACCCTAATCCTATTGTGTTGTTTATTGAATGCCCCATCTGTCAATTGAACTGACTCACTCTGTATAACCTGCCTTGAGTACAAGTGAGAAAGGTGGACTATAAATACATAAGTTATTTATTTATTTATTGGATTTATAGCTCTCCCTCCCCTGTACAACAGGGCTCAAAGTGGATAACAGCAATAATAATAAATAAAAATTATTAAAAACAACCCTTACCATACTACCAACAACTGATACGATGAGACATCAAAAGGGAGCACAAAATAGTGCCCCTTATCCAAGGGAAAGTAAACATCATACAGATTAATAGGTGAAGGAGTAACAGACAAGGGAAAGGGACAAGATGGAAGAAGCAGAAAAGCAAGGGAGGCCAGCCTTGATGAAAACCATTGTTGTCCTCATCCACAGGCCTGGTGGAATATCTCAGTCTTATAGGCCCTGTGGAATTGCATCAGATCTCACAGGGCCTGGGTCTCACTCAACAGAGAGTTCCACCAGGTCAAGGTCAGGGCCAAAAAAGCCCTGGCTCTGGCTGAGGACAGCTGGATACTTTTTGGGCCAGGGATCACCAGTAAGTTGTTACCCATTGAGTGTAATGCTATTTAGGGGATTACCAGGAGACGCGGTCTCATAGATACGTTGGTCCCAGACCATTTAGGGCTTTAAAGGTTAATACCAAACCTTGAACCTGATCTGGTATTCAACAGAGCCAGTGCAGCTGGCGGAGCACCAGTTGACTATGGGCTCTAAATGGGATTCCAGTAAGAACACATGCCACCACATTCTGGATCAGTTGGAGTTTCAGGGTCAGCCTCAAGGGTGGCCCTGCATAGAGCAAGTTACAGTAATCTAATCTGGAGGTGACCAATGCATGGATCACTGTAGCTAAATCAGGGCGAGACAGGAAGGGGACCAGATGTCTAACCTGATGCAGATGGGAAAACGCCAGCCTGGCCACATTTGTGATCTGGGCCTCCATTGCAAGGGAAGCATTCATAGTCACACCCAGACTCTTGACAATCAGCACTGTGTTAGACACACACCGTCTATTTTGTTTATAGACTGCCCTCCCCATACATAGGGTTTAGGGCGGTGAACATAGGTAAATACATTCAATAAATACATAGGTAAATAAATACAATTCAATAAATAAATAAAGGTAAAGGTTCCCTTGCTCGAAAGCCAGTCAAATCCAACTCTAGGGTTGTGGTGCTCATCTCCGTTTCAAAGCCAAAGAGCCAGCGCTGTCCGAAGACATTTCAGTGGTCATGTGGACAGCGTGACTAGACGCCAAGGCGCACGGAACGCTGTTACCTTCCCACTGAAGTGGTACTTATTTATCTACTTGCAATGTCTTGTTTTCGAACTGCTAGGTTGGCAGGAGCTGGAACTAGAGATGGGAGCTCACTCTGTCATGCGACACACTCGGGTCTCAAACTGCTGAACTACTGACCTTCCACAGCCTGCAGTTCAGCGTCTTAACCACTTGAGCCACCGCAGTGCCTAATTAAAAAAAAATACAATTCAATAAATACATTTAAGATCAGCCAAAATGGTTAAAACAATAAACAACTCTAGAACTATTCAGACGGTGTTTAAGAACCAATTTCTGTCCTTACCCCATGGGGGAGAGAGGGACGATGGGGGGCAGGCTTGGTGACAGACAGTTGCTGTCCTCAACCACTTTTGGGAGCCAGCATGTGTTTTATTGACTAGCATTAGTAAAATTGACAATTACTCTTGAATACTGCCACTTCCCTCAATGTGTTTGATATGGTAGATTCTTATCAGCTGTGTAGCAATTTTGAATCAAACATTGTTTATTTGTCACATTTACTCCATAGGCAAACCCAGATAGCCTTATGATCAGCCTCCCATTGTGCACTGAAGGAATACCCAGGGAAGCAGCGGAGCCCAGCCCTCTCATGCTGGCCTAAAGATTATAGAGATCAGAGTGTTAGTTGGAAGGGACATTGATGGTGATCTAATTGAACTCCCTGTTTAGTGCAGGAATATGCAATTACAGGATTCCAGCAGTTGGTCATTCTGCTCAAAGACTACCAGTGAAGGAAAGCTGAATATCTCCTGATGCACTGTATTCCATGGCTAAACAGCACTTATAGCTAGCAAGTTTCTCCTAATACTTAGCTAAAATTGTTTTCGCTATAATTTCCATGGATTAATTCTAGTCCTGTCTCTGGAGTAAAAAAGAACATGTCTGCTCCGTCTCCTGTGTGCCAACAATCCCATGAGTCTTCTCTCCCCTAGGGTAAACATGCCCATCTCTTTCAACCTGTCCTCATGAATGAATTTATTATTACAGCGCATAGCCAGCAATATAAAACCATACCTACAACCTGTCTTCATAGGGCTTGGTTTCCAAACCATTCACAATCCTGATCAACCTCTTCTGGATATGCTGTAGTTTGTCAACATGTAGTTTGTTAACATAAGGTGATGCCCAGAACTGAGCACAATACTCCAGGTGAGGTTTGGTGAGCCAACAGCAGCAGCAACTAGGAATAGGAGCTGCCAGTGCCACTTGCCCACTTGTTCCTTCTCTCTAGGCAGCAGCAGCTGCAACAAGCGTGATGTTGGGATTTGGTTGCCATTTGGAACTTGCACTTTTGATCCTCCCTCTGCTGTCTTGCAGGAGAAGAAAGAGGAGGAACTGCCCACAATATGTATCCTTTGGGGAGCCCAGTCCTGTTGCCACTGCCCAGAGGAAGAGAGGATAGTATTTGCAGCATCTGCTGCACAGCAGCAAATTTCATGGGTCAGACCCAGCTGAGGTCTCAGCAGCTGCCCAATGTTACCAGCTCTTGACATGTTCTTGGCTGGAAGAATTGCTTTTCCTATCAGTTGCATAGATAAAATGCAGGTTTTTAACTTCTTCCTTGCAGATTTGTTATATCTCACCTTTTAAAACTAAATGTCTACTGCTTCTTTAGGGCATTTTGGACAAGTATACATGTGCACCAAATAATCTTACAGAAGAAATATAACAACGGTTTGTGATTCCCATGTGGAAAACTGCAGGTGTCTAAAGAATTGCTTCCACTAAACATCAGTTAAATATATGGGTACAAAATTAAAGAGCAGCCTCCTAACAAAGAGGCTGTGATGTTTTATTTCTGCTTAAATATTTTGCACTTGTGAATTTTTGCATTGTGTTTTATTATTTGGCATGTTAGTGCAGTAAACATTTTAAGACGTAGATTAGTGTGTACTATGCAGCTGTTCATTAGCAGCTGCTAAGGAAATGAATGGTATTTGAACTTAATTGTATTGTGCACTATGAGGCAGTTGGAAAGGTTTAAAAATAACTTCCTAGTCTATGCTCTGGTTGGATATTTCTCTTGGCCATGTTAGAAGGCTGTTATTTGATTCATTCAGATCTCCTAAGTTGAACACAGTGGAAACTTAGCAAAGGTCACAGTCAGCATGGGTGACTAGTTGATAAGGCTGCAGTAGAAAATATAGAAAGTCAATATGGTGAAATGCCTAGTAAAAATCCAAACTAGGAGGAGTATTCATCTACGGATGGTTAACCATTGTAGCAAAGATGTGTGCATTCGTTTGTTGAGACATGGGTCTAGGATCACGGCTAAAAGTGCCGGTAAGTTGAAGTTGACTTTTTGCTTGGTTGTTTGTACCATTTTCTGTATAGAAAAGGTTTTTTTCCATAGTCATACAAATACTGTACACTTTTAGTACATATAATTATTATCTTGATATCTGAACAGTTTTTATCCCCAAAATATGACACGGAAAAATATGAGAAATTAGAAGTGGAGCTGGGGGGGGGGGGGGAAGAAGCAAAGATCTACTCAAGAAAATATTTCTAATTCAGGAGATGATTGACTAAATTAAATTATTTCAATTGACTTTCTGAGTTAACAAAGAAGTAAAGAGAACTTTTCATTCATAGTTTGAGAAATTCAGAAATTACTTCTGAAACAATGCATGTGAATCAGAGTCTAATGCAGATTATTTAAAAGTTGTAGAACTAAGGCTGCAATCCTTAAGACCCTTCCCAGGGAGTAAACCCACTGAATAAATTAGGCTACTTTGGAGTAGACATTCTTAGGATTGCTGCTTATACTGCATGCACAAAACTTTTCAACAAATTTCAGAGGAACAAGATTTTTCAGAATGTGCCATTCCACAATATTTAATTTTCCATGCTAAGAGTAGGGTATAGGTAAGTACAGAGAAATACAAATCTTAATGTTGTATTACAACTGGAACTCTTACAGAAAGTTTCATTTAGCAATATCTGTCTCCATATTGCATAGAGGTAAAAAGATAACAGTAATTCTTTAGCAAAATGAATTATCAGATCCATTAAGTACTCTATAAAATGAATATAACTGTGCAACGTGCAGACATATTTTATGGTAATCTTAAGATCACTATGGCATTTCTCTTGAAACAAGTTTGTAATTAGTTGAACTGCTGATGATGTCAAAACTGTTTGCCAAGCTTAAGCAAACAATTTCTAATACTAATTCATTTTTTGAGAAAATGTCCTTGTGTCAGAATTATATTGTAAAACTGTGATGTTGATGTATTGTATCACAAAATTCTTTAAAATTATTTGGAAGAGATCTGGAGTGTTAAGTGGAGATACCCTTTGCCCCACTCCCCTAGGAGCTTGATCGGCAAGTGTGTCACCCAAGTGGCACATACTGTTCTTTTCCTATGGCAAGATCTACATCACTATAGTTTATGAATGCTGAAAATTTGTTGAGGTCAGTCATGTGATTCTTTCCCACCCAATATTTCCTGGCTCACAACACACCCCATCCACATGGTTTCAATATTGACATGCCTGATAACAGTGATGTGAGATTGTTGGAATTCTCTCACATGCTGCTTACACTATATGTGGACAAGGATCTGAGCTGGACGTCTAAAGAAATGCTAAAATCTGCCTGCAGAGGCATGAATGCTTGCCTGACCCATTTGAACCTGGTAATTGTATGTGCCTTAAAGCCAGTGTACTGGGAGTTCTGTTTAGGGGTTGTTGGGGTTTTTTTGTGTCCACTCATTTGAGATGATTAATGGGTGTGTGAGATCACTGAAGCAACTGTTACTATTTGTAGTAATTTTTCTTCCTTATGACCAAACTAGATATGACAGCATCAGGGGTCTGACCTATGGACACCACTGCCATTTTAAAGCAATTTAACAATCCTGTGAGGACGCAGGGCACAGCAAGTTGAAAAACTCATTTCCTCCCCCTGTACCTTTTCAACTCCTGAACAACCACTTGGGGCTGCGGTGGTGATGCAGCTGTTTTACACTTGAAAAGGCACAGAGGGAGGAAATAAGAGCACTTCAGGCCACCAAGCATTTTAAAATTGCTTTAAAATGGTGGCAGCCTCCAGAGGTCCAGCTCGTGGATGCTGTCATGTTTACTTGGCCCTAAGAGTACTTTGGAGAGCTTGAGGGACTCTGAAAAGCAAGGGCCAGTAAGCTACAGCCTGTTGCTTCTGAGA